TGTTCTTTAATTGCAACCCTCCCTAAATGCACGCTCTAAAGCTGGTCCCGATGACGTACATTGTGAGGCCGAAATTAGTAAATGCATAGAAAATACCTCTATATTAGTTACATCTCTTTATAATCACAGATTTTTGTATCCCAAAGGTGTGACTATAGAGGGGTTTGAGATTAATTTAGAGGATTTACTTGTGCATAAAAAGTTATACAGTATAATAAAGTTATATATTTATGCAACTTGAGGAAATATATACACAAATTTTATTTCTTTGCCTTTATTAAAACCCACGCGTTATATTAATGACTTTTTCAACTAATAATAAAAAAAAGTCGAGGGTTTAATTTTTTTTTTTTTTTTTAAAATCCCAATCTTTTAATAAAGCAATGATTCTAAAAAAAAAAACAGTCATACTTAAAATTCCGAAACCCATCCATAATTCTCAAGAAAATAAAATTAATACTGCGATGCATAAAAACTTTGAAAGAATAAAACCGTAAAATCGTAAAATTATTAAGATTATTTTTTTTCGGTAATTCAACCCACAAACAGATCAACTAAATCTTTTTAAAAAAAAGTTTATGGAAAAAAACGCGTTTTGTGTGCATCGTTCACCACAACCTTTTAACAGCATAACCAACAGGATAAATATATCGATCGTTATGAAACGAATCACGATCGTAAACGATTTTTCCAAGTTTGATTACAGTGTGAAGACCAACTTCAACAGGAAGAATAAAATTTCCATTTTCATCTTTAGGAACAAGATACGCTTTCATATTTCTTGGGGCAGCGGGAGCACGACCTTGACCACGTTTCGGAGCCGAAACTTTCGACTTGATTGGAATATCATTCACAATATTTCTTACAAGGGACCGGTGTTTTGTATTAGTGATAGTTGAGGAAGTAATTTTAGGGGTAATAGAACTATTATATTTGGTAGTAGGCTTGGATACTCGCACATGCTTAGATTCAATTGAAGACTTTGCTAATTGCTCCAGCAAAGAACTTTTTTAGAAAAGAAGAATTAATAAACATAATATAAATTAATTGAAAAAATAAAAGTTTACAACAAGACGTACTCTCTCTCGTCCTTACACCTTTTAATCTTTTTAATTGCTCGCTCGCATTCTTCATTTAGATTTGCATTTTTCTATAGTTTAAAAAACCGCATTTTAGATCGGTTTGAGAGTATTTAATGAAAGTATATTGATGAACGGTAACAATACTTTTAATAATTGCATGCTTATACCTTTTTTAATTCCTTATATTTACGTTTTAAATCCGTGTATTTGTCATATACGGAAGGAGAAAGGTCACCCTGAGAAGACTTTTTTAGTTGATTCTTTGGAGGTCTACCCACCATTAGAAATTTTTAGAAATAACTCAATGAAAAAAAAAGAAGAATGAGTTTTTTTGGTTAAACACAAACACGAGCAAAACTGGGAGGATCAGTATTTATGATGTTTTATTATTGGAGAATATTTGGTTCAGAAGAAATGTTGAATTGTTATCGTTACACAGTCATCATTAATAATTTGTCACGCATTCACACGCGATTGAGAGTTCGCGACGAGAAATATAGAAAATTTAAATTTATAATAATGAAAAAGAAAAGTAAAGAGAGAAAATAATAATAATGAAATGATGAGATCATTGTGATGTGATAAATCAAAGATTTTACAGATCCCTGAGAAAGTTAATCAACAAAATAGAATGCATAAGAACTTTTTTTTTTTTTATTCGAAAGAATTTTTGAAATGATGAAATGTAATTGGCTCATCTCATCGATAAAAAATTTCGATAATTAAATTATAACAATTTTTTGATATATAGCTTCGTAGAAGTTTAACGTTGATTCTTTCACATGATCTAATGAAAATACCTATTTATTATAACTAAAATCATTAACCAAAATCATTAATTCGGAATGAAATCAAAAGAACATTTACGTAAAATATTTATTTTTATTTATTTCTATTAACATCAGTCTTTGTAAATGCCTAATTTAATAATTATAATATATGGTATCTAATACCGGGTATTCGGTAACATGAATGAGTTTATTTTGGTTAAATGGAAGATACACTAGCACTAGTTTGATAAGCATCGTACATATGACATACATATACAAACTGTTATTTACTGTTTATACATTCGTACATTCGTACGTATATGCCATATGTCTTTAAATATATTGCCAAGATTCGTGAATATATGCTAGATACTGTAAATAATGATTGTTTTTTCTGACAAATTAATATATACCATAATACAAAACAGTTAAACAAGTATCTACATATTGAAATTTTAATTATTGTTGTAACTCGATTCATCAATGGTCATCAATGGTCATCAATGGTCATCAAAATGGTAACGATTATACACGTATCAATCAAACAAATGTGATATAATAACTATATAATATATACAGTGGTGGATAGCTTAAGATATCCAATTTTATTAGTTGTTTAAAAATGGTATAACTTGACAAAAAATTATTAAATCAAAAAACCATTCTTACAAATTGATAGTTTATAACCTAAACTATATTTCTATAAGAGGATTTTCTTTTATTTTTATTTTTAACAGTGTTATAACAGTTTAAACTTTGTTAATTTTATATATAAATCAAACATTTGGCACTGATCTATATACTGTATATAAACATGCATAAGCCAATAAAAATTAATTATTTTTGTGTTACATTATCCTAAATTTAACACATCTTAGTAAAAAGTTGGATGTCTTATAGTGCCTTATCTAAATTTGGCATTTTTTTAATAATAAAATAAAAAGTAAATATCTTATACTGTTCTCTACTATATAATACAGAAAAGTCTCCAAATTTCTTTAAAAATTTTTAAATATTTTAGTTAATTCTATTCACTTTATATAATTACAAAACTATCTACATATACTTTAGTATAATTTGAAAACAGGATCATTGCGTATCAAAATTCTCTTTATTATATACATCAAATAAAATAATAAAATCCAAAATAAAAAAAAAATAAACTAATTTTAATTTCTATAGCATAGTAAATTTGATTTTAAAGATAAAAAAAAATAAAAACTTAAAGAATAGTTTGGTGTTATACATTGGATCTATAATTAGTGGATTTATATTTGTTTTAAAAAAAATTTTGGTTATTGTAATTGAAAACTTTGGTAGTTAAGAGATATCTTATAATATAATACTATAGTTTAAATTAAATAATATATAAAACAGAGTTTTATATTTTTTTTATATTTTTCAGCAAGTCTTGCCACTATTTTATTAAGATAGTAACCAAGCAAAATTACAAGAATTTTTAACTATAGTTAATTTCTCTTTAATTACAACAAGTGATTCACTTGGCTTAAAGCCCAGGTGCAACATTGACTAGTAGCTATTTGCCTTTCTCCAGGCCTCTAACTTTCTAGAGCCATGAATCCTTCGATCATTGGCCAGTGCCACACACCATATTAGTATTATCTATAAAATATAAACACAAAACAAAGGGCAAAAAAAAAAGGATGATACCTCAGTGTTCAAATTCAATTTACCTAAACAAATAAAACCAAAAAATATATAAAAGAAAAACAAAAAAAAAAAAAAAAACAAAGATAGTACTATTAAACTTGTGCCAGATAAAGGTGTAGCAACTTAGAGTAGTGATTAAGTTATTATCTCCCAAGTGGCAAGTTTAGAGTTTGAATCCCACCAGAAACATTTTTAGAAAAATAGACCTGTATATCAGTAACAATTATTCAACGATCGGTTGAGTATATTACCTGTAATTTTGGTACTACCATTTTGAAATGAAAGCTCTTAGGCAATCCAAATCCAAGGAACCGGAATAATTAAAATCCGTTTGGCAAAACCCAAGTAAGAAGGTAGTAAAGATCTTTAACGATATTGTAGAAAAGTCAAAAACCAAAGAATGAAGAACCAAACAAAAAACCTTGGGGCAAGAAGGATTCACCAACCTGACTACTAGAGTCGCATCAGAGGAAAAGGTCCTATGCTACAGAATTAGGAACCAAGGGAAGTAAAACCGGAAGACACTTAAAATCTAGGTACAACAACCCATCTGGGCTAACTGGTTTAGTAGTTAGGAAGAGATCAGTATAAGGACTGGCTTGATATGGGTATTGGAATCAGAACAAACCTTGTAAAGGCACCGAATACCAAAATTATGTGGTTTAATAGTTCGTTCTGACTGCTAGTGGTGGTTTTGGCTGCTGCAGAAGGTATTCGTAGCCTAATCTGAAAGTGCATAAGATATAGAAAGATTAGGGTGGTATATACTAAACCCTCTCTAGGGCAATCTGATAGTATAAGAATCTTACTGGGTTATCTATAGAATTAGGATTCAAGTAGTATAATAAATGTTAATCTGGATGGTCTTCAATAAGAAGCAGCATGAGGTTATGGATTGGTGTGATTGTGGTGGTAATGCAGGATAGGGAACATCAGAGAGTTTAAATAGATAATCTCCTAGTTAGGTTACATAGTATAGAACCTTCGGGCGGACTACTTAAATTAGGCGACCAAAAGTTGTACATATAGCTATATATACTCTTGTTAATCAAGAATGTACTACTAAAATATTTAATAAAAATCTACATTTCCGCGACATTGCAAAGATATAAAAAAAAAAAAAAAAAAAACTCATGCCAGATTATAAAAATTATATAGACTACTAAATAATCTAGTCTAAACTCTACATTAATTACTTATTGTCTATATTGGAGTATATAAAATATCCATTTTTGAGTAAAGGCTAAGTCTGAAATTTCTCTTATAGTTTCACCAGATTTGGTGTAATATTCTGCAACGTATTCTTATATTAGTGCTTGTCTCTGGACAAAGTTAAGCAATCTATGTATTTTTAGCTTTTATAGATTTCAGTGTAAATACTGTAACCTCTTGAGATAACCAATCAGACATTATTCATCTCAAAGTAGACACGTGCTTCTGTATATGACTTTCTTTTTTTAGCAGTGATTATTGTTATTAATCCTTTGATGGGAGTACACTGTTTTTCCCACATTTTGATGAAAATTTTGTAAAGAACAAAGAGTAGAGCTTTGATAAAGAGTTTTAGTTTGCAGGTATCCTTAAACTTCAGTAAAGAGTGTGTTGAAATCTTGCTTGTTGTTCTTCTTAGACTAACTATCTTTAACTTCGTCAGCAGAAACAGAGCTTTTATTAAAATTTTCTGTACAAAGACAACATCTTCTTGCTAATTATCTTGTATAGGAATGTTTTTAACTTGCATGCTGAATATACAGAAGAGTTCAGAAGAAAAAAGAAAACCTTGACCTCTATAAAAACCATTATTTGTAATTGTCTTTTCTACTTTTTTCCAACAAGTTTCTGTTTTCGTTAGCCATAAGTTTGGTATAAGTAATTGTTGGGGAGAGTTGATGTGTATAAAACAGAGTTTTAATTATAAATATATTTCTAAAAACAGAAGTTATATTTTTTGATATAAATTATATATTTATTAAAATCAAAAATCAAAAGAGTAACTTTAAACTTTTGTCACATGTAACAAAAAGCTTCTGTTTGATTTTAATAAATTTACTGCACCAAAAAACTAACTTTTGTACAGTATATTATTAATAAACTCATATCACATTTTGTTTTATATTTTATTTATTAAATTTAATTAGTCTGCATTATTAATTGACAATTCTCTAGTCAACTGAAGAATGATCATAGTAAAACATGACATGGTTCTATATATAAATTACTATAGGTGCGAAAGTAGAAATTTTCTAGTGATTGTCCAAAGAAAACTTTTTTTCGTACTAAGTTAATCATCTTTGAGTCTCTAATTAAAGTTGTAGAGCTCATCGATACGAATCTAAGAGTAGTTAATTGATGATCCACGAGTAAACGAGAACTTAACACTGGGGGAATTTATATAGTAAAACATAGTAAAAAAATGTTAAGTCGGAATCATAATTCCTATAGTATTATAAAATTTTTTAACCTTAAATTGCTTATAACTTTTTATCTATTTAACTAATTTTACCGATCTTACTATCATTAGAATCACAAAAACTAGTTCTACAACTTTCA